TAAATCAAAATATCGTGAATCGCGAATCAAATTACCTTTATCTTTGATCTTCGTCACTTAAAAAACGTCGATCATCGTCGTCTCTAAAAAAAACTCGATCTTCATCTCTAAAAATCCTTCGAGGCGATTCTGTTTGGGAGAGAAAACGAAAGAGATCGCGTTATTGTGAAAAAGGCAAAATTGTCTAAACGGATAAAATATGTGGCATAATTATAAAAGACTTTTCAGACAAAACACGCTTGTAAAAAATGACCACATTTGTGGCATTTTTGTAATTCTCCCATCATTCTTTTATATGTTCTATTATTTTTTAAATAAATTATAATAAAAATATAACTTAAATATTAAAATTTATAATTTTTAAACATATTTATATTTATATTAAAATAAAAATTTAATATATACTATTAATTTATTTGTCATATTATTTGAGAAATAGTATTATAATAATTTAATTAAAAATAAAAATTGATGTTATAACTTATAATTAATATATATATATAATGTATTAAAATATATATAAATAAATAAAATAAAATTTATTTTAATTTTATATTTAATTATTCACAACTTAACCAATCAACTAAATATGCATATTAATCAGACGATGCTACTCCTAATCAAAAAGGTATACACCAAATCAAGCTTATTAATCCACAATGACGGTTTACTATTTTGAAATCACTATTTAACCATTAAAAACTTTCTTAACCGGTCTAGTACCATACTATGATCCGGTTAAGATCAGATTAACAAAATTAAATTCAAGGGAAGATTTGAGCAGGAATTAGACCAGCGAGATTATCTCGTTCAAACAAGAAACATCTTCTCGCTCAACTTCTTCTTCTCGAATCATAAACCCTAATTTTCTTCCCTACAGATCGATAAACCTTCCAAAAATATCTTCGAAATCAGTGTCTATTCAATGAGATTCCGATGCATCTCTGTTTTGAGATTCCAATTTTTTCTTCGATTTCTGGCGATGTTAGGGGAATTAGACGTGAGATGAGTTTAGAGACGAAGAACTCTTGGATCAGAAGCAAAACAGAGAGTTGCAGCAGTTTATCTTTCGCCACCAGATCTGTGGCACATAACATGTCTGTGGACATGCTCTATCAACGCGGATATGATTCCCATCAATCTGAATATAATCCCAACACATAAAACCATTAATCAATCTACATACAACTCCTTATAAACACAACCACAAAGAACAAAGTTATATTACCAGAGACATGTTATGTGCTAGAGAAGCTTCAGCAAATTGCTCTGTTGCGAACACAACATAAGCATGAACCTGCAATTACAAAGAAGATTGACATAAGACTTCGAAATCAGAATGGACACAACGGAAATCGAATTTTACGATTTCAAACACAGACCTTGCGATTTGAAACCATTGTATCTACTACTTCATCAGCTTTCTTCCTCTTCTCAAACCTCACGGTTCCTCCGATTTCGCTTTCTTAGAGATCCGGTGGCGACGGAAACACGACCTAACCTATGCTGTCTCGGACAATCTACTTATGCCGTCTCGTCGGAGGAGGCGAAGAAGAAGATAACCGGAGCTCGTATTTAGAGCTGAGATGGAGAAAAGGATTTTGAAGATGCTCGACAACAATATATCCATCGTTCCGATCTTAGGTACATCGGAGAAGAAACAGCTCTCTGTTTCCGTCGCTGGATTTTGAATTCTTAACCGTAACCGCCGATCCGGCCTTCTCTGATTTCCNACCATTCGATTCCAGATCTAGATTTCCGTTAGCCGGTAACGTCGAAAGCAGAGACGACGGTGGTGTCTCGCGTTTCTGACGTTTACGGCAGCTCTCAAGCGGAGGAGCNACGATTTTGATCGACGGGAGTAGATCTAACCTCCGTCTAAGAGAAGCTCGAGAAGTCGAATCAACCGGTGCCGATGGTTCAGTCTCTCCAACAACACCGCAACAAATACCAGCCATTTGAATCTCAAACAATTACAATTTCTTCCTTTAATCACAGATCAAAAACCGATTCAGGCTCAGAGTTTCTTTCTTCAACAAGATACAATTCACT